TTGTGGTATTGTACCGAGTATTCTACGGATCATGCCTTGCTTCGAGGAGTAGTACATTGATGGAACCTGTGGAGCATATGGGATTGTCAGCCACTTTACGCGTTCGGTCCCCACAAATCGCGCACCACGTTCCATTCACCTCGCTCCACCGCGTGCTTCCGTCGCGTGATTGAACTCTTCCTGTTAGTATTCATCATATCGTGGCCATTCTTCTTTCACACGTCATCGTCACCATGGCCCGGGGACGACAGCCTCCTGGCGAGCAGTCCGACTTTGAAAAGCAACGACTGGCCAATATCGCCGAGCGAGACGCCCTCCTCAAAAAGTTAACCCAAGAAGCACAACAAGCAGGCCTCTACTCCCAAGCGCCGTCGACGGGCACGCAACATGGCCAAAAGCGAGCCTCCAAGCCCAAGGGGCCCCCTGCAAAGCGTGTTAAGAAAGAGGCTGTCGATGTTGCCCCTCGTCGCACATCCTCACGTTTGGCGGGCATACAAGCGGACAGCGATGTTGCGAGACAAAAGGCAGAGGTCGAATACGAACAGCAAAAGGAAGTCGAGAGGCAGAAGAGGCAACGTGTCACCGGCGACCTGAATTTCGCCGCTGATGGAACGAGTCTGATCGGGACGGATGTGATACTCAAGGGCGTCGCCAAACCGTATGAGCGCACCTTCGACGAGCAGGACATACGCGAGACGTCAGACAAAGAACTCAAGGCGCTCAGGGAAAGAATGAGCTCGCTGGGTCTGTGGGATAAGTGGGAGCCGAACCGCATAAAGATCACGCCGGAGAGGATATACACTATGGCGTTCCACCCGACGACCTCGAAGCCCATTGTCTTTGCCGGAGACAAGATGGGGTCATTGGGCATCGTGGATGCTTCGCAGAACCCAGACACGAACGTGAAAGAGGAAGAAGCAGGCGACGAGGATGAAGAAGAGACAGACCAACCCGATCCTCAAATCACGCATATAAAACCCCATACGCGAACCATAACCGCGATGCACAGTCACCCATCGACACCGCAGACACTATACACGTCCTCGTACGACTCTTCAATCCGGGCGACCGACCTCTCTAAATCCGTTGCCGTGGAGGTGTACGGCCCCTCTGATCGAGAGGACGACGAGCCCATCTCCGGGGTAGACATGTCGGCCACCGACCCGCATACGTTATATTTCACAACCCTGAACGGTGCGTTCGGACGGCACGACACGCGCCAACCACCTTCGGCGTGCGAGTTGTTTCAGCTCTCGGAGAAGAAGATTGGCGGGTTCAGCTTACACCCGCTGCTGCCGCACTACGTGGCCACAGCGTCGCTCGACCGATACATGCGGCTGTGGGATCTGCGCAAAGTGACCAAGAAATTGCCCACGCTGGTGGGCGAGCATGAATCGAGACTGAGCGTGAGTCATGCGGCATTCAACACCGCTGGTCAAGTGGCGACGACGAGCTACGATGACACAATCAAAATCCACTCGTTTGGAGTTGGTAAGCAAGCCAAGAAAGGGACGCAGACGGTGGAGAGCATGAGCTCCTGGCCGGCAGGCTTTCAGCTGGAGCCAACGGCCATGAAGCCGGAGGTTGTGGTGAGGCACAACAACCAGACGTGAGTCTAAGGGACCTTTTTTTTTTCTCTGTGCAAGAACCTTCCTTCGGGGAGTGGTGGCAGTGATAGACTGACTGTATGCTTTATGAGATTGCAGAGGCCGGTGGACCACCATCCTCAAACCGCGCTGGCAGACTTATCCCGAAGACAACATCCAGAAGTTCGTCGTGGGGAACATGAATCGGTAAGACATCCTCGGTCTTCCAGTTCTGTCACTTTGCTCCCCAATTGGTGTTTTTTCTTCCCCAGAGAAAGTGCCCTTGCATTTCACTTTTCTGATAGCTCTACCAGGTTTGTCGACGTCTATGCCGCCAACGGCGACCAGCTCGCGCAGCTCAGTGGCGAAGGCATCACTGCGGTTCCTGCCGTGGCCGTCTTCCACCCTTCGAAAGACTGGATTGCCGGAGGCACCGCGAGCGGGAAACTGTGTTTATGGATGTAAATACGAGCGTCTGACGATAGACTGCGTAACAGAGTAACATCTGTCAGCTCCTCCTTGAGGAGGGCGCCTTGAACCATATTCCTATGTTACGAAATGCGTCGTCATCTCTTCCTTTTTTCTTTCATATTTACTTAGGTCTTCTGTCGCACAAACATACGATGATGCAGCCGTCAGAACAAACCATCAGGATGTACCAGGGTAACATGGCCCGGGACGCAATCCACAGCCGAGGAGAGGGAGACTCCCGACTTGTTACTGTTACCTTTGGCATCAGGCTGTGCTTTCTGCCTCCAATGCATTTTCCAAATCTCATCCGAGTCGTGCAACGAAAAGGAAGGGATTCATCGCTGCGATTCTGTGGTCGCACCAAAGGCGAGTTGTGCAGGCTTTGTACAGCAGAAGAGGTCGACTTCTAGAATAGATCCGGTGATTTCCTTTGGCTTCTTTTTTGGATCAGGAGCAATCTCGACCGACATCTCACGCTAATCGATGGCGTCACTCGGCGGCTTGACATGGTGTGGTGATTGCGGGTGTCAGTGTTTCGACGCTGCAAGGAGCCGCAATTGTGTCAGCGCTGATGAAACTCGTGGGAAGCACGATGCCTGGACAATTGAGAAATGCATGAGGATCTCTAGAAGTGTGCCTAAGAAAGGTGTGAGCAATGACATGGGGACCGTGGCGATTAAAACCTCACCATGTTTTCGATGACAACCCACACAGCACGAGTCAAGCAGGAACAAGGAATCCCCTCTCCACAGACCAATCCGCGTGCCTTTGACCCGTAAAAGTAATAGTCAGGCCCCAGTTGTCTTAGTAGACGAGGCCAATCTCGGCTGCGCACTGAGGGCGACCATGTGCTTTGTCCAATACCGATTGGGAGCCAAGGACCTAACAGGTGTTTGTGGCAAAGCTACTGGTTGCAAATCCCACATCCTACCCAACAGGGCCATTCTGGCCCAGCCCAAGCCTCTTCTCAAAGCCAACTCTAAAAGTCTGCCCTTCCGAGGGAGGAGAGTTCAATGTCGGGTGAGTGGCGTCAGCTGTTAAACTCGCAGTTGGTGACCTGGTACTAAGCATTATTTGTAGTGCGGGATCCCCCTGGTGCCCTGGCAGCGGACCTGCGTCTGTCTGTTCCTTCGATCCATCCACCCATCCTCTCGTTATCATTACCCGGTGCCGCAATTCAAATTCATCCCCCCAGCCGTTGGAAGATCACAACAAAGACACGGGGTTTTGTCTTTGCAGGCGTTAGATACGGCTCGTTTCCTCGACGCGCTGTCTACATTTGGATGCCCATCGTCGGCTCCTCGCGTTGTCTTCTGATTGCGAGGCGACTAGAGCAGTGACAACAACTCGGTCTTTTCTTCCTTCTCAATTCCACCCCAGATTTCTTCTCTTAACAATCCCTGGTGTGTTTTTCAAAAGTCGTCTTTCATCAATAAACGCCATGGGCGCCAATCACCGCTACGATCTCGTCAAAGACCACGACGATGGCAAAGACGAACCCCAGCCACTCCCGCCACCACCCGCCTCGGTCTCATGGTGGAAGATTTTGGTCGGAATCCTCGCTCTTTTAGCCAGTGCCGGTGTGGGCGCGACACTCGCCATTGTTCTGCGTCCCTTTCCCCAGGAATCTAGCGGCAATACAGCTGTCGCCGATATGGGCGCATCGAGCAGCACCTCGGCCGCAGGCGTCCCACTTCCCACAAGACCCGTCGATTCGGTGGAAGCGAAAGTCGAAGAAGATCCCGACAGCTTGACCGGCCAGATTCTCGACTGCGGATACAACCCAGAGGAAGCACGCGCCAAGGGCTGCGTCTACGACGTGATGATGCAGGATTGGGTCCCGGAGCCATGCTACGACCCTATCTTGACGGAAAGATACCTCGCCCAGGGAAATTGGACGTGGTATGCCGACGCCGAGGGCAAAGTGATATTGACGGATGAGGAGATGCGCAAAGGCGAACACGGTTCCGCATGGATGTCGTCGAGTTATCATCAAGCGCACTGCATCTTCTCGTGGGACAAGACCGTCCGTGCCCTGCGCAACAACCGACCAATCAGCCAGGAATTGCTGTCGTACGACCACGTCCTGCACTGCAGCCACCAGACTCTGAACGGCGCCGAGGTGGACGAGAGCATCGGCGTGCGCGCCCCCACGAATTACGCCAAATGTGCGCTGTACGACACGTGGAAGTACAACTGGATCCCAGACAGGCACTCTTCCACCACCGATTAATTTTGTCTTTTTTATATTAATATACCAACTACGCGCGAAGCGGCGGTTTATTCACCGAGAAAATCTTTCCCACTTCTTGCAGAATCTCCTTGGATTTGTGCGCCTCGCACGGGGAGGGGTCGCGTATGTAGTCCTATACAGGCAAACAGGCAGAAGGCGGGAGTGGGATGGGAGGGTATGCATCTTTGCATGTTTGTATGTAGTATCTTAGCGCGACTTTAACAACGAGTCAACGTTTTTTTTTTTCTTATCTGCAAGTATGGTCTTCCCTGCCACGGCCTTGTCGACCATTAACGGGTCTTCCTTTTATTACTACTTAGGTCTCATGCGCGCGCAGCGTTCAAAAAGGGGATTGACTGCCCCGCTCTTGAAACTCCTTGCAGACCACGGGAATGTGAAGGAAGGGAAGGAGTCCTGATAATAGCTAGGAATTATTCTCAATCGCCTGGGTGAACCGAATGGGTGGATATCTGCAGTACATTTCGGTAGTACCTAGGTACCTAGGTGCAAGCTGGGTAATGATTTCACCCCATTCTGTCCGTCCACTTGTCCCGAGTATGTATTACTGGGTATTAAGCAGCGCACACACCCTCATTCTCTTGCTCCGCACTCTCCTGTCTCTTCCTGTTGAGAACAAAAGCCCCTGGTCACTGCCCTGCCCACTGGCACCGAACCTATCGTACTGTACGTACACTGATACTGTAAGACAATCACGTCTCGTTAAACAGGTCATAAAGCCCCATCGTCTGCGTCATTTCCGCATCTGGTCCTGGGACTAGTAACTCATCATCATCGTCGCCGCCACCAGCCACAGTTTGTCTCAACATGGTCGTCCCGCCCCTCGGGTCTGGGGCCACCGCGCACCTCAGGAACGAGATGCCCCGGCGGACCAGGTTCGTGATAACGGTGCATTGAGGAGGCGGCGGATCTGCGTTGTCGCGGGGATCTGGCGATGAAGGGTTCTGTGTGGTGTTGGTAGTCTTGGTACAGGACGGGCACGCAGGATCCCGACAAACCCAGGTCTTCCAAAAGGCGCAGTTGATCATCTCGGCGCCGTGCGAGAGGTATGCGGACCGCATGACGCGGTTGTCGACGTCGTTTTTTTCATCATCATCACCAACAAAACTCCCGGAGATTTGGGCGAGCTTGTATCGGGATATGAAGCCCTCGATAATGGCGTTCACGGCCGACAAGTGGCCGCTGGCCCGGCCCGGGGGGTGGGTGTGAGCGGCGACCCGCAACAACTCCAGGTGGGCGAGGAACTGGCTCACGTCGCCGTTGACGCCGCGTCCGTCGATGCTCGCAAATTCCCAGTCGATGACGCCCACGCCCACGTTCGACTCGTCATCACAGGTCTCGTGTCTCATGTCGACCAACACTGCGCCGGTCCAGCAATCGCCTAGGACGAGACGCCGTTCTTCCGGAGGAGTCGGGCGCAGAAAGTCTGCCTCGACTGCCGCAAAGAGATTTTCAGCCTCTGCTGCGTCGAGGAGGAAAGGAAACTTGTCGAGCTGGGATCGAATTGGCTTGATGACGTGGTCGTGGATGGCACTTTTCATCTCTGGCAGCGAGGGAAATTCAGCTCGAGGTTTCTCGCCCTCGCCCGCGCCCTCACCATGGTACGCCTGGTCGCGGCGTGTCCCAACGATGGACTGGACACTGCTGAGGCAGTGCAAGCGTGCAAAGAACGTACCCAGCTTCTCGCCTATCGTTCGATATGTCACGGTCTCGCGAGGCTCGAGCGCATGGCCCAGACGCGGAGCATATGGAGGCGGTTGCCACGACGCCGCGCCGGCCACGTCGGGCGTGAACCCACCTAGCTCGATGAAGATTTTGGAGAGGTCCGGTAGTGCTCCCAAATCGGAGAGTATGAGGACGTGCTCAGCTGGATCATGATGGAGCAGGTGAGGGATCATAACTCCTGACTTCTCTGCGACATGGCGAAGAACACCTCTTGAAGGGGTTGGTGATAGGGCGCTCGATCCGTCTGGACTGCTGGCGGATAGGAACAGGGCTAGCGAGGCAGCTTCAATTTCCTGCGATACACCACACTGTCAGTTCAGAACTGGGCCATAGAACCTTGCCCGTCATGAGTACCTAACACAGTAAGTAGATCTGCAGGACACAAAGGCACGTAGATACCTAGGCGGGTAATAGAGATGCATGTATTTACATGAAAGAACATGGGCAGTTCAAAGTACGTATGTCCGGAGATGTATGGTACTTTACCTACCTGCCTGCCCTGGGACATGGGTGCACTCTCGCCCACACCCGCGATATACGGCGGTGCATATTTCAAGATGAGCGACCTATGCTCCGGGAAGCAGCCTCGCCTATAGTCCAGCTCGGTCACGGTCTCGGTATTCTCATCACGTAGAATAGTCTTTGTTGAATCTGACGCGCGTAGTGACGTCTGAGATGCTGCTGCTGCTATTGCTGCTGTGGCAGTATCCGCATCCGCATCCGCAACGTCGACGGCAAGTAGGCGATCCTTGCTCGCGCGCACAGTCACATTCACCACGCCCCCGCTGAGCCGGCCAACTCGGTAGATGTACGTTGGGTCCAGACGTCGCAGGTACGCGGCGAAATCAAAGTCCATTTAGTTAGTGGATCGAGGAGCTTCAGGCTGAGGAAGAGGAGAGGGGGTTTGTTTTCCAGATAGCTGGACACTTTGTCTCAGTAGAGAACAGGAGGGTCAGCAAACGGGGCGAGATGGAGATAGAAATCGTGTGTATGTGTGAGAGGAAGACGAAGGCTAAGGCCGTGAGGAATTTCCACCAGCTTGTGAGAGGAGGGAGGGGGGGATCTCTGAAGTTTCATGTCGTGACCGAGTTTTGGGGAGGGAGTCGAAATGAATACGAAAGAGCTGTTGTCATTTCTATAGACCTGGGCTGGCTAGCTCGTGACTTGGTACTCTGTTATTCTTTTTGTTCTGAACTCCATGACCGATGAGAGAAGAGAGGTAGACAAGCACGAAGAGTGTGGTGGAAATCGTAAAGTAATAACACCAGCACTCATCTCCAGCCCAGTGTTCCCAATCGTGCCAGTCTCCTCCAGACTCCAGGCTCCAGGTTGGAGGTCTCCATACTAGCGCCTTGGCACTCTTAGTCCAATATCAGTGAATCTGTCACTCCGCCAAGTATAGGACTCTACTAGAGTTGACAGTATTAACAGAGGTGACCAGTACCGGTACCGGTACTGGCACAAACCCCACAAGAAAATCACTCGTATATATGTTATCAGTCTCTAAATTCTGGCACGCAAAGACCCCCTTTACCCACAACAAGGGCGAAAAGATACCGAGTTCGAGTCCCGAGTACGACACAAGAAATCCAGGTCCTGACAGGTCAAAACTAAACCACCGACCGGGTTTAGTGGGCATCAGCACCTCGATTCCTTTCCCACCGTCCCTCCGACCGCGACGACCTCGATCCGACGACATCAACCCACCCTTCGTAGTATAAATTCCGTAGTATAACCGGCCGAGATAAAACCAACTCCGCAAGGAGCGAGTTTTCCTTATCACAGACCAGCAGGGTTGAGCTGCTCTGGGATAAGTTTTTTGCCATTTCAGACCGCGAGATTCTCAAGTGTGGGAGAGAGAAAAAGGGAATGAATAGCCAAACCCCGGCTCCTTTTCTAAATAAAAGAGATACAAGGATGAACGCGAGAGAGAGAGAGAGAGAGAGAGAGAGAGAGAGAGTGTGTGTGTGTGTGTGTGTGTGTGATTCCCCGTCAAAACTCCATCTCGTAGTCTAAATCGCCTGGCCTGTCCAACACCTCAAACGGAGCATCCTGCATATCCCAATCCACGTCACGAGGAGTACCGAGAGCGGCGCAATTCGCACCTTCTCCCCCTAGCGAAGCTCGCAGCCTCTCGACCTCGCGCTCCGCCATGCGTCCAGCCTCTTCCAAACCGCGGAGCACGTTGCCCAGCATCTCCTCCAGCTTCAGGTCTCGGAGCACCTTCTCGTAGCGGCGCATCTTGGCCCGGTCCCATTCCTCCTCGACCCGGTCGGGGCCGTGGAACGAGTCCTCCGGCCGCGACTCGACGTCCTTCCACTTGTTGCGGAATTCCTTGGCCACCCCGATGTACTCGCGCACGGGGCCCGTACCGAGGATCGCGTGCAGCGGACTCGACGGGTGGTCGAGCGCGGCGAGCACGTTGGCGTGGAACCGGTGCGCCGCGCCCTGGAAGTACAGCGAGTCGCCGATGATGGGGCGGCGTGAGGCGGGTCTCGTGTGATCCTCCGCCTTTCCGTCTTCTGCCGTCGTGGCCCCGGCTGCTGCGGTTGCTGTAGCGGAGGCGGTGATCACAATCCCCCAAACACCCAGGAGGCAGACGAGGCCCCGCTCCAGCAAGGCGTAGAACTCGTAAAAGTCGATCTTGAACTGCCGTTCCGCGTCGACAGGGTCGATGATCAGGTCGTAGGGTCCCAGTGTAGCCCGAGGTCCAGAGGGTCCGTCTCCGTCAACAAGGTCAACAAAGCCATCGATTTGCCCCTGGTTGTCGAGGTTGTGTTGTCGGTTCTGGTATTCTTGGGCCAGATTTAGCGCGCGGTGGGACCAGTGCGTCAAACTGTTGGCCTTCCACGCCAGTCGCCGGAACAGCCTGCGGAACCGCTGCAGTTCAGTCTCTCGTGACAGATATCGTCGCTGGGCAGAGCTGGTCGGAGTCGGCGACGGAGCGGGGACTGGCGAAAATGGTTGTTGCTGTTGCTGTTGTGGCTGCTGCAATGAGCTTGATGACACTGAAATCTGGGTCCGTGGGGAGGCGGCTCTTCGGGTCCAGCTTGGGATCTGTGATTCTCGTTCCCGGCGTACATCAGGACTTGCCCATTTTGAAGCGGTCAGGTCCAGGTTCTGCATGGCGATTCGAGGTGGCTATCTGAGAGAAAGTCATTATCCGACACTTGGTCAAAAGGACAATGTTTCACTGCGGTTCCAAAAGTGGCGGTGCATATACCCAAGCCTCAACTTCACCGTCTCTTTCTGCATTGACGATAAACCGCGCACGTCCTCACTACGGCCTCGCCTTGAAGTGTTAACACAATCTACTTGGAAATTAGAATTAGAATTGGAACGGGTACATCAACATAGAGCGCATCCGTCATTGACCGCATAACCGCTATTTCCAGTCGTCCAATCGCCTTTTTCAACGGCACCTTTACCATAACCCGATGCCGATAACACTCGTGTGCTTCCAAGCCATACCAAGGAGAACAAAGTGAAGCTCTCCAGTTCAATGACTAGGGCTATCCCGTGTCCCTCGTCCTTGTTGATCCCTCCTACCTGCATGGCTGACTCTGCCCGTAATGTCTTGCCACGTCGCGTCAAACCTTCTGCCTGTGCTTGCTAAGAGACCTTCCTCTTCTTCCTCCAGCTCATCTTCCTCGGAATCTGAATCTGATAGTTTCGGTGTACGGAACAGGAGAATAATGAAGCCGAGCAGGAAAATTCCCAGAAAAACGAACTGCGCCCAGAAATCGACCACACCGAAGAAGGGGAAGTTGACCGTCACACGGTTGAGGAACGTGGACACGACAGATGGGGTGCAGACATTCCTGGCGGCAGGATTCTCAGTTGACTCGGTGCATGGTATGATGTGCTGTGGGTGATCAGTACAATCGGGTTGTTCCCCAGGGTGCTTAAGGGGATGGTCGCAGAACGTTTGAGGGCCAAATGTGGCATACTGCGGAGCCACCATCATAGCTATTGAGTAGTTGATGGCCAGTGTCATGAGAGTGAGCATGACAGTGGCAACCAACAAAGCTTGCGGTGATGTGTGAGCTTTGCGGATTCGGAAGATTGTAATCCACAGGATGCGGATGCCAATGGTCGCAATTCCGATGATGCTCGCACTGAAGAAAAGCATCACGATTAGCATGAAGATGACATAGTCGATAGGAAACACCTTGGCGGACGTGACGAGGATCCAGTTGACCGGTTGGAAGATGTTGATGTGTGCCAGTAGATAGCCGCAGTGCTGTTTGCAGATCGAGTTCTTAGCCTTATCAATGCCTGTAATGAGCATGCTGGTGAAGATCAAAAGTACAATGATCACCAGCAGAAGCCCTAGAATGAGTTTGATAGGCCGCAGAACGGCGCCCAGCTTGATCCAAAATTTCCAGAAGATGTTTTGGTCTTTCCCCGAGGATTCTTCAGCGAGCCGCTGGTGACGACGAAGAGTGCGTTCTTCACGAACAAGCGCATCCAGTTCTCTTTGGTCTTTGGAGGACAGGCCATCGGGATTGCCTTGGGCACGGCCCTCCAGCTGTCTCTGCCTCTCGAGATTGCTTTCCAATTGCGACGCGGTGGATTCGCTTAGCGCGGGCGCTGAGACACTGGGCGCGGATTTGATGAGGGTAAGAGGGAGAAGCGCGAGGCCCGCGGCAGTATAGAAGCAGTAGATGAGAACCCCAATCGTGATCAGAAGGCCTAGCGCAAACGTCAAGGCGCGTTCGCCGTGGTTTTCGGCCAGTAGTTTCTTGAAAAAGTCGAGGTCGAAATGGGCCCCTTCTCTGTGGCGGGCAACAGGGACGAAGAAGCCCACAAGGAAAAGCGCAACGCAAAGGAATACGAAGGCTAGTGTGTATTTGAACGCAGCCCAGAATCTGGAGCCGAAAGTCTGGTTACCCTCCTCTTGGGCGACTTCATCATATTCTTCATACCAGAAATAGGTAAATGGAACGACGAGCAAGCAGAGAAGCGCATCGAGTGAGTATAGAAGATAGTAGACGACCCGGAGGGTAAAGGTGATGTTGTCGACCTTCTCTTGATTTGCCCAGTCCTTCCGTTGACCCAACTTTGAGCTTGTGGTACTAGAGACCAGCGCGACATCGACGGGGAGTAGAAGGACGGTTGCCAGCAGAGATGTGATCGTGAAGATGCAGACAGTTGTGACGAACATAGACCGGTCTCGATGTGTTTGGTAGAGGTAAACAAAGAGACAAGCGATGGAGAGGAGAATCACCACGGCGATGGCATAGACGACCCAGATCAACGTAATTTGGATATAACCGGCTGCGGCCATGGTCGAGTAACCCGAGCCTTCGAACCCGGTCTCTGTCAATGAGGAGATCTGCATGACAGTGTTTCCTGGCGACTTCAATGGGGGTGTGGCGGTACGCAATGGCACAGCGTCTGCATCTCAGACCAGCTGGATGATATGCGATGAAGATGGAATGAAAAGTGATGCAACGATCAGGGAAATAAAGTAGCGCAGCAGTCAGGCGCAATCGTGACCTCAGGGTTGGAGAAGCTCATGGCAGCGCAGGTTCAGGTGTCAGTGGGTGTCGCATGATGAAGGATGCGTCGTCATAGCTGCCCACTTTGTGTTGTTTGGTCTAGATCCGGACTAGCTCGATGTTAGCAGGTTAGTCACGTGTCAGGCCAAAATATCAAACTGGAGTTGCGACTTGGCCCCCTTCAACGCGCCCTGTCCTTGACAGAGATATCAATGTCTACATTCCTCCTGCAACAAGTCAGTTTCCGGTGATGCAGCTACAAAGAAACAACTTGGAAGAGCTTGTAGAGATGCCAGGAAGCGAATAGTACTCCCGGCCACTCCAGCCGATCACCTGGCACTTTCATTTTCCAGCACCAACCTCAGAATGCAGTGCTACTCCGAGCTTATATCTCCTTCGGGCGTCACTCACGCCCTCTCACTCCCCTTCACTTCACCTGATGCCGACAATTTGATTGTTGCGCGGACGTCCCTGCTCCAAGTCTTCCAATGCAAGCCGGTCAATGGTGGTCAGGAGTCGAGACTCGTCTTGATCGCCGAGTACAGCTTGGCAGGGACAGTCACGTCGTTAGGCAAGGTCAAGATTGCCGACTCGAAAAGTGGCGGGGATGTCGTCCTCATCGCCCTCCGTGATGCTAAGCTGAGTCTCGTCGAATGGGACCCCGAGTTGCATAGCATATCTACTCTGTCAATACATTTCTACGAGCACCATGATCTCCAGGCTGCTCCGTGGATGCCTGATCTCGCCGATTGTGCCAGTCATCTGACGATTGATCCGTCCAGTAGATGTGCGGCCTTCAATTTCGGCGTCAGTAATCTCGCTATTATCCCTTTCCATCAAGCCGGAGATGATCTGGCTATGGACGACTTGGACGACCTTGACGGAGAGGATAAGGAAAAGCCCTCACACGCAGAGCAAGCTGACGGACAGGTCCAAGGGCCTCAGACTCCTTACAGTCCATCATTTGTTCTGCCAATGACAGTCCTTGATCCTGTGTTGCTACATCCGATCGACATTGCCTTCCTCCATGAGTATCGCGACCCTACCATTGGGATACTGTACTCTACTGCTGCTCGCTCCTCAAATATGAGCGCGGAACGGCGGGACGTTACGATATATGCGGTCTATGCTCTGGATCTCGAGCAAAAGGCGTCAACCACGTTGCAATCTGTCCAGAAGCTTCCCAATGATCTCTATCGAATAATTGCTCTTCCTCTGCCAGTCGGCGGGGCTTTACTGGTTGGCGGCAACGAATTGATCCATATCGACCAAGGAGGGAAATCTAGCGCTGTCGCAGTAAATGAACTGGCGAGAGAGGCATCTTCATTTCCCATGGCCGATCATTCGGAGGCTCGTCTGAAGTTAGAAGGCTGTCAGGTGGAGCACCTGGGAAATGCAAATGGGGACATGCTGGTTATCTTGAGGTCCGGGGAACTTGCTCTTTTGATGTTTCGAATGGACGGCCGTTCGGTCTCTGGGATGACACTTCGTCGACTTGGAGACGGACAAACGCCAAGTTTGGTTATGGGAGCAGCATCTTGCACCGCAAACCTTGGCACCAATCGCCTCTTCATTGGGAGTGAGGAGGCCGACTCAGTCCTGCTAGCAACAGATAAGAGGATCCCCCAGCTGAAGCGAATGCGCTCTCGAGCGCAGATACAAGCCAATGAAGTCGAGCCGCAGGAGGATGACGATGAAGAAGATGGTTATGACGAGGACGACGACGATGATCTTTATGCCGAAATCACTAACGGCCACAACGGCCACGTCTCCGGCGACCTGAGCGGCCAGAGCTTTCGGGCGGTCGATCGACTCGCATGTTTGGCACCAATTAATGACATTGCCTTGGGAAGTCTGGGCAAGCGAAAACGTGAAGATAGTGACGACTCAGAGCGGCGCGACTCATCAGACCGCGAACTTGTCTGTGCATATGGTCGAGGCAATGCCGGTGGAATCGCCTTTATCCGTCGGCAGCTGGAGCCGGAGGTGGTGCAGCGAATCAAGTATGAAGACGCTATTGGACTCTGGTGTTTTAATTCTAGTGGGAAGAATCAGAATGCGACTGACAAGCATGTGGAGTCTCGATTTGACAATCTTATCCTGGTCTCGCAAGTGACACCAGATGGTGCTGGGAAATCTTCCTTGTTTTCCCTCGCCGACGACAACCTGGTCCCGGTCACAGACACAGACTTTGATGAGACTGCTGGCTCTACTATATCGGTCTTCAAGCTGGAGATGACCAACCACACCATCCAGGTACTTCCCACAGAAGTACGCGTATATGATGCCAATTTCGGCCTCTCCCAGATATTTCCTGTCGTGGATGAAGAAGAGGGTCAGACAGCCAGGGCAGTCAAGGCCACCTTCGCCGAACCATATCTCATCCTCATCAGAGATGATGGAAACATGACCTCACTCAAAGCCGATAGAGCCGGTGAACTGGACGAAGTTGAAATTTCCAGCACTCTGAAGAACCATTCTATCCTATCAGCATCACTCTATTATGATGCTAGCGATTTCTTCCAGACATCGAGGTTCTACGAGGCTGCTGGGACACCCCGAGGGCCGCTCCTAGCATTGTTGACATCCGAAGGGCACTTCTGCCTCCTGTCGTTACCAAACGCCGCCCTTGAGGTGTTTCAATGTGATAGCCTGCCCTTCCTCCCTACATACCTCATGCAAGGCCTACAGTTACCGAAGCATTGGAGGGAAAAGGATGATCTAGCTGAAACCCTCCTCGTCAACCTAGGGGACGCAACAGATTCTCGTCCATATTTAGTTGCTCGCAACACGGCAGGGGATGTCATTATTTATGAGCCCTTTGCAGATCCGGAGGTGGTGGGAGGTTTCAAGTTTAAGAAAGTCTCGACCAAGCCGGCCGAAGCACCCGAAGACCAAATTGAGGAAGAAGGGGAAGAAACCTCACTGCGTCCGATGCAAATCATCCAGAACTTGGCTGGACATGTCTCAGTGTTCATTCCAGGCACGCAACCGATGCTGATTCTACGCGAAGCTTCCACGATGCCTCGCGTTTACGAGTTCCAGCCGCCAGATATCAAGTCCATGAGTGCGGTTCACACTGGAAGCTGCCACAATGGTTTCGTGTTCATCGATGACTCTGACTATATCTGCTTGTCTCAGCTTCCTCCGTCGCTGATGCTGGGGCAATCGGATTGGGTCATCAAGCGCGTCCCACTCGGACTAGATATCACCTCCCTTGGCTACTTTGCTCCTGCGGACTCTTATGTCCTTGCTACAAACCACCCTGTAGAATTTCAACTCCCCCAAGATGATGAGTGGCACCCTGAATGGCAAAACGAAGCCACGACCTTCCTGCCCGTGACGCTGCAATCTACCCTCAGGCTTCTTAGCTCGAAAACACACCGGATAATCAGCCAGTACCACTTTGAGTCTTCCGAGAGGATTCTGTCAGTGAAATCACTCAATCTCGAAATTTCCGAGGAAACGCATGAACGCAAAGATTTGATCGTCGTGGGCACGGCTCTGGTCAAGGGAGAAAATGTGACCACCCGAGGGAATCTGTATATATTCGATGTGGTTGACGTCGTTCCCGAACCGGATGTGCCTGAAACTGACCTCAAGCTCAAGCTGATCACAAGAGAAGACGTGCGAGGTGCCGTTTCTGCGATCTCGGGCGTGGGATCACAAGGTTTCCTCCTGGCCTCGCAGGGCCAGAAATGCATGGTCCGAGGGCTGAAGGAGGACATGTCCATTCTGCCCGTTGCATTCTTGGATATGCGGTATTACGTGCATGTCGCCAAAGAGCTTGCAGGGACGGGCCTGTGCATTCTGGGGGATGCGTTTTCAGGGTTATGGTTGGTCGGGTACTCGGAAGAACCGTACAAGCTGCAGATTCTGGGACGTGACTTGGAAAACCCGGCTGTGCTTGCAGCCGAGTTCCTGCCAGACGGGAAGCAGCTATATATCATTTCGTCGGACGAAGACGGCATGCTGAGGGTGTTGCAGTATGACCCTGAAAACCCCAAGACAGAGCGAGGGGCCAAGCTACTGTTGAGAAGCACGTTTCACACGGGAGCGGTTCCGACGACCATGACCTTGATCCCGCCGTCGTCGCCACGGGCTTTCAACGGGAACAATTTGGACAGTGACGAGATGGAATTTGAGGACAACAGCCACAACCCTAGCCTGGCGCAACCTCATCAGATCCTGATCACCACCCAGTCCGGCTCACTTGCTCTCCTGACGCCTCTGCGCGAGAGCACATACCGCCGCCTCTCCATGCTGCAGAACACCCTTATTGCGACGCTGGACCATCAACCCGCGAGCCTCAACCCACGGGCATATCGCCAGGTGGAGACTGATGGGATCGGTGGTCGCGGCATCATCGACGGCGACATGGTGAAGAGGTGGTGGGAAACAAGCACGCAACAACGTGTCAACAGTGCCGACAAGGCGGGCGGGAGTGTGTGGGAGGTACGGAGTGATTTGGCCATGATTACTGGTGCCAATCTTGGGTTTTAGAGGAGCATCAACCATAGCCATCGATGTAACAGAGGCGCGGGTGGGCAAACTCGAAATGATTTCAGTCGTCAAAGAGGGGAGGGGGCGACAACATGGCGCAGGCACATACTAGTATGTAGGCAGGGTAGGTACATACTTGTGCTTGTAGAGGTGTCCTTCCTTGGTGGATGGATTGCCCACACACTTTGCGGCGATGCTTGAGGTGAACAAGGCGAGTCAATCAATAGTGTCGTCCCCTAGGCAAGTAGGGATAATTAATGACAGATTTCACAAGCCACATAGA